AGACACCAAATGCGCGCCACCGTCATCGCCTCTCCCTCGCTGGAGCGGGCCAAACCGGAACAAGAAGCTCACTTCCTCCTTCCTCTCTTCACCATGGTTGCAAGTGTAGGCTCCTCCTCTTCGCTAGTCTCGTCCTCCTCCTCTTCGTTGTATGCCTCCTTCTCCGCCTCAGTGTTGGCCTTATATCTTTGCATTCCTATTGGAATAAGCTTATGAGGATACTCCGGACTATGGAATTGTGTGTTCCATGTCTTCTTTCTACCTTTCTTGCCCGGTCTCTTAGCTATGGCTTTGCCTTTCCTAGATGGTTGTGGAGCATTGCCTTGTGTTGGTTGTGTAGCCTGTGATGGTTGTGGAGCATCAACATCATACTCATGATCCTATTCATGTGTTGCATCATACTCATGCTCCTCATGATGTGTTGGCTCCTCTTGATGTGATGGCTCCTCTTCATGGAACTCCTCCTCCATGTCCTCATTGTTCTGTAGATAACGCCGTCTATTAGCTGTGGTGGCGCGGCTACCAGGTGCATACACGTCACTGGACTGAGCACCATGGCAAGAAAGCATTGCTGCCATCTTATGAAACAGCTTCTTGAACTTCTGCAAAAATATGCTATGATATGAGATGCACATAAATAATCCGCGAAAAGAAACTTTTATAATATATTGATCACACCTCCATCGTGCTCCTAAGAGTCCTCTCAGATAATGCACCACCAGGTGGATGACTCAGTGCAACATTGGCATCGTTGACGCACAGAAGCAACTCTCTGCCCTGCAATTCATGAACACACCAAACTTATGTATTTGAAAGAAGACAACATGATGCAAGTATGTTAGAATAGGTCAAACAGACTACCATTTCATCATGCATCGGTGCATAGTCAACGTGAGCCCCTCTGGTGTCTCTCACAGCCATGTTGAAGGTTTGATAACCTTGTGCAGTCTCCGGGTCTTCAGACACCAACTCCGACCACTCCTCATGAGTCCAACCAGGCTTCAGCTTTAACCGGTAACGATCCGCATACCACACTTGGTACTTCTGATATGCTGACTGATTGTGAGGTCTATTCTCTGATTGCACTAACGTGTCTCTTTGATTCCAAATTTCTATCCACGCACGGTGTTTGTTTGCCCAATCCGATATATCCTGATTGTTCCTTCGATCGAACCTACAAATGATGCACGGGACAAAGCATTAGCAAACATTGACTTATTCAATGCTCTACTACATACTCAAGGCATGCTTGCTTACCGATGCAGAGATAGAATTTCCTCCTTGCTCTCCTCAATTGGAATACCTTGTCTTCTTCCAAATTGTCTTGCCACACGGTCTACAAAGTGCCACTCAACTGCGAAGAAGCATATCATTGGGCACCTCGCCCGCCAAAGATGGCTATCACGCGTGCACATCTCATTAAGATCAAAGTCACGATCTTCCACATAAGGCAACCAATATACCTGCAAAACAAAGAGATACATTGTTAGCTACATAAGTTTCATTCTTGACTAAATTTTATCTCATCGAACTTCTCAAAACCTGCTCAGCAGTCAAGGTGTCCAGCTCGTTCATATAGCACTTGTATCGCACATGCGAGCTTCCTGTGTAGACCGTCACTTGTTCCCAATAGTAAGCAAGCGTAGGGCGCCGATAGGGATCATCATCATGCAACCCGTCATGATTACCCCGTGGGTTTGCCATGAGGGGGTTCTTGAAATCGGGCCGTCCTACCGGGATCCTCTCCCACATCCACACGGATAGACTCCAAACAAACCCAGACAATGAGGATGTATCTCCCTTCCTCCGACACGCCAAGTCAAGCTGCAATCAAACAAACATGTTAGATATGGAGGCGCATGACAAATGCAAGATAAATGGTTGCAAATATCTCTTACCTGGCGATACAAATATGCTAGTGCGGCCGAACCCCAGCTATACTGGGTATCCCAGTTATTGAGTAGCTCCAAGAACATCCAGAGGGCTGAGTTCCCTGTTGCATCTGAGAAGACTACCTTGGTTAGTACATACCAAAGATAGGCCCGCGTGTACTGCTGCACAACCACATCATTGGCACCCTGAGGGCACGGATTGGTGTTTCCTCTGACCAGTTTTAGCCAGGAATGCCTCACTCTTGCGGTATCGGCCTTGCCTTCCTGAGGGCCGTCGGGCTCAACACCAATTAAAATGCCAGTCCGTTCTCGCCAATTACCAACGCTCACACGACCGGTAACAGCTTGTCCGTTGATAGGAAGGCCGCTTATCATAGCCATGTCCTGTAGGGTCATCGTCATCTCCCCACATGGAAGGTGGAACGAGTGAGTCTCCGGCCTCCAACGATCCACAAGTGCGGTCAGCGCTGCGTGGTTCACCGGCGGAGCGCGTCGCTTAAACTGCAACACGAATGGGAGAAGACCCAATCTCCGAACGTAAGGCTCGTACCGCGGGTCGTAAGTAAAGTCATCAGCGGAATGACCCCTCATGCGCATAGCAACTACAAGCTGCAAATAAAGTGATGTTTTAATCAATACAAGAACACAAATGAGAAACAACGAAAATTGATAAGTCTAACTTCTTACATCTCCCTTCTCAATGGCACGAGCACGATGCTCCTTATCCCACTCATCGATTAATCCGTCATACCAAGATCCATCATCATCCGCCATCCTAGAAAAAAAAAATCACAAACATCTATGAATACATGAACAATATCAAACAATACTATTTCCTTCTTCAAGTTATGCCATATAAAAACACCATTCTTCTCACACATAACCACATCATTTCTTTCTTCTACATATGCACACATATCATCTAGAGTACCAAATTTCACCATCAAATAAAATTCATAATCATCATCCGCCATTCTATTGAACAAATCATGGCACACACAATCATCAAATTTCATCATCTCTTTGCAAAAAAAACTTTGCCATCTATATATTCAACTATATTGTCATACCACTTCACACATATAATATTTTTTGTAAATATATTTGCTTGCCAAAGTAGTCTTTTCAGATTCAAACAAATATTATGCCATCTATATATTCAACATATAGCTAATTTACTAGCACATGCATACATCATCTTCTCAAATATACGCACATCATCTTTCAATCAAATAAAATTCTCAAACAATATGGTGTCACATAACCATATGCACAATTTTATCATATGCAACATCTCTCTCTCCCTTAAAACACTAATATTAAAAACATATGCAAATACATAACATCTAATTTATACAATCCAATCTGTGGAACAAATCATGTCACATACAACCATCAATTTCATCATCTCTTTTGCAAAAAAAAAAGCCAATAGGATAATCTACATATGAACCAAACAATTTCAAATTGCATACATATTCAACAACACATCATCTACTATCTACAAATCAACTATACCATCTAACAACTACACAAAATTTACTAAAACAAAAACAACAAGTACTCATCTAACATCTCCCAATGATGAATAATGCAACCAAAAAGAGATGTTCTAATCAAAACAAATTGGAGGGAATGGAGGAGAATACCTCAAGGATGTTTGGGGGCCTCAGATCCACAAATTTGGGTGGAGGATGGAGTAGATCAAGGGGGGATTTGGTGTGAGGGAGAAGAGGGGCGAGAGAAAAGTTTCCTCTGTTCTTGCGTTCGGCCGCCGCCAGGGAGAGGTTGGGGATGGGTGGGCTGGGCCCGCGCGTGGTGTAAACCTACCAGGGCCAGACGCCAGGGTCCTTGGCGTCTGGTCCCTTTGCCACGTCAGCGGGTCAACGGGCAGGCGGGCAGTGCGGGCCAGGGGCCAGACGCCAGGGTTTGTGGCGTCTGCTTCGCAACCCAGACGCCAGGGATGTTGGCGTCACCTAAAAAGGTCAGAAATGAATTTTTTTCCAAAGCGAGGTCAAATCGGGATTTTGTTAGCCAGAGAGGTCATAACAGTAATTTTGTCCACTCAAGCACAGGCACCACCTATGTTGTGTTGCAGAGGTAGGAGCTGAGCTGAGCTGCAGAGTGTGCAGTGCAGTTCGCGGCGACCGAGGCGACGCACGAGTCGCCAAAGGAGGGTGGGGATCGCTCTGTGCATGCAGCAGCGCCGCGGAGGGAGTGACGCATGCATGCTCTGGCGCGGCTGCACACACGGCGCGGCGCCATTGGGGGCAACGGACGAGAAGCCGCTCCGGCTGGGCTACTGCTCTGCTCCACTGTAGGTAGTGTGCTGCACGGCCAGCCAGAGCGAGAGCGCCCCCACGCGCTACAGCGTACTACTGGCACAGTACCAGTACTACTAGCTTTGCTATTGTGGATGGATGGTTGGATGGGTGGGTGGGTGGCAAAGATAGCTGGCTAGCGCCACAAGGGCACACCCGAACAGCCTCAAAGGCTTTCACTTCACTGTGCGGGATTGAAGTGAAGAGGAAGGGAAAAGGGAAAAAAATAATGAAGGGGATTGGCTAAAAGTGACACGACTCCAGCTGCGGTTACGGCCCATCAATCGGAGGTCGCTCCCCGAATGGAGGATGGCAACGAACAATCACTGACCGCCTACCCCGGCCTACTCACCTCACCTCACCTCACCCAGTCGCTCGCTGCCTCCTCACTGCCCACCCGTCGCGTCCGCGTAGGCCCCACCTGTCAATCACCGCTCGTCCTCGGTCAGAAAAGCCCAACGGTTAACGCACCAACGGTAAAACAACAGACGTCGCTCTTCGGCAAGGGCGCAATGTGACCCATGCATGCATGAACTTGCCATCAACAATTTCCAAGTTTTTTCAAGAGTCTGTTTGGGAAACTTGAGCAATGGATACATGAGAATCGAATAACGAGCAGCCACGATGCTCGTGATCCTGATCACGGCGACGCGGAGAGGAACCAGCCTGGGCCAGTCACACTCCGATTAATTCACAACAACGGCTACCGATGAGGCGCGAGCACCTCCAACACACACGCGCGTCGGCCACCGTCCGTGGCCGAGCAAGCAGAGAGAGAGAGAGAGAGCTAGTTGTCCGGCGGGCGGGGGAAGTAGAACCGGTGGTGATCCGGGTACGACGGCGGCGGCGGGGCGGGGTGCGCGCCGGCGGCGGTAGAGAATCCTGATGATGCTGCAGCGTAAAGCAACGGCGAGTGGGAGGAGCCCGGCGGCGTGGCTTGCGCTTGCCACCCCCAGCCGGGGAAGCACGACGGCGGCTCAGGGGGCCTTGCCTCCATCGGCCTCTCCTGCACCTGCACCTGAGAGAGAGAGCGTCAAGTTATGGCCGTGCATGCAAGCACCAAAGCTTGCTTTCATGTGAATGCACAGTGTCTACCAAGAATAAAGCTGCACCATGTGATCAGGGTACCACTACACCTAAGCAAGCTACTCCCTCCGTTCCAAATTACTTGTCTTCGATTTGTCTAGATACAGATATGTCTAGCACTAAAATGAGTCTAGATACATCCGTATCTAGACAAATTTAAGACAAGTAATTCAGAACGGAGGGAGTACATCTAAAGCTGTGTCATGGAGGACGGATGCAACTGTAAGAACCGGAGGACGCACTGCAGTTTTTTTCTGAAAGGAGGTGCAAGCTCACAGGAGAAACCAAGTACTCTGGTACTACACAGCATGCTCTGTCCATGAGACGAGATGCCAACGAAAAGCTTGCGTTTCGTTTCAAAAAAGCAAGCAGCTCAGTCAATAGACACATCACTACACCCAGAATTCCAGCACTTGTACACGTTTTTAGGAGAGCAGGCATGATTAGTTTCACCAGGAAAGAAACATGGAAACCTTAATTTCAGGAATGAACTTGTCAAAAACTGAAATGTCATCAACAGTTTCGTCTGAAACATTATTCAGCAGTAGCAACAGTTTCAGTAAGCTGGTGGAGCAGCGCGCCAAGCAGAGGATGAGGACTAGGAGGAGGAGGGGTCGTTCTCGTAGTGATGATACCTGTACGTTCGGGTAGAAGCCATGACAAGCAGATGGGTACAAACGCTGGTGCTGCTGAGGTGGTACTGCCGTGCCATGTTGATGCACAGGCCACTGGGAAGAAGATGAGCTCATTGGCTACAGCGATATCAAAAAGGCACAAATATCGTAAGTTTAGGAGGAGTATATGCCATACGACCTGGATCAATAATATCTCATCCACCGACACAACTGGGCCAACAGGAATTTTTTCTATTCCAGCGATCTAACCACTGAGCTAGCTAGTGCTAAACATGATTAATTTAATTTCTTTACCTGAGAAGAGAGCATTGTGGTTGACGATTCAGGGGAATCAAAAGTTAACTGAAGGCCGGCGACGATGTTGTCCCGCTTGGGATCGTGCGCGGTAGGTTGCGACATCCGAAGATCCAAGTCAAGAGCATCAGCATCAACAATTGCTAAGAAAACAACGAAGATATCAATGAGATAAGACTTGGGTGTGATTGGAGAAAATCGACAGGTGAGACTGATTGTGTTGTAGTACCCTCATTTTCGGCGTCGGGTGGAGCATCCCCATTGTAGGAGCTGCTCTCAAAGTTAGTCACAGCTTCCCTCCCATTGAAGCGAATCGCCGCCCTGTCGTACGCCCTACCAAATCCAACATGACACTAGAGCGAGTGAGCGGAAATTAAGGAGGTTTTGTGAGCTTCCTTAATGTGGATATCAGGGATAATCACAGTACCTTGCAGCTTCAACTTCGCTGTCAAAGAGGCCAAGATATATGTACCTGCGTGCGATGATAATGTGGATATCAGGTATATGAGATCACAGCTCAACGGAGATAGGGGGTGTGTAGGGTGACAATTCCGGGTCTGGACCATAATGTGCACGGATTGGATTAGATTAATTTTGTTTGGACAAGTCGATCATATATGTGGAACCTTTAACAGTTGCTCCAAATAGATGTCTGCAATCAGAGTGTCGGGGGAAGTGGACGTCTCACCAGCACCAACACAGGACACGCCAAGAACTAACAACATGGATTAACTTGATGACCCTACCCTAAACCAGCTAAGATTATGTTTCAAAAGGGATAATCTAAGATGATTACCTACGACAGGCTAATTAAACGTCCACAGCACGAACAGCTGCCTTGTCACATCTAGTACTAATTAGGGTCAAGTTCATGAACAGCTTGTGAATTTCTTTTCAACGTAATCTTGTACTGTATATGGCATCTGATTAGAGAAACTAGTATGATAATGTGGATGAAATTTATTAATTTTAGTGTGTGTGCCTGCTTACTTCTTGCCGAGCAGCTGGCCCATCCTTGCCTCCCAGCGGCCGCACTTGTGGAGCGTGACGCCGCGGTACTTGGAGCTCCCCCTGGCGAACCCCGTGCTCTGGCGGCGGAGGATGTGCACGAACTCCTCCTTGGTCCAGTTCCTCATCTGGCAAAAAGCACCACCACCACCCACAGGATATCAACCATCGGACAAACCACCCATATATTATCCGGCGCACTGACTACCTGGTAGTACAATCTTCTACCCAGATTATAGCTTATAGTAGCTTAGATGATTACCTGCTTCAAATCCTCCTCATAGTCGCTCAGATTGAAGTTGATGTCGGCCTCCAGCCCCCGGAACTTGATCGCCGCGCGATCGTAGGCCCTGCGCCACGCCACACCGTCGTCTCAGTACACAGTTCATGGTCAAATCGGGGTAAAATGGATTCAAACGAGGCCTGATTAATTAATTAATTCACCTTGCGGCCGCGTGCGCAGTGTCGAACCCACCTGAAGAAATTAACCAGTGTTAATTACGAGCACATATGGCCAAGATAATCGAAATTAGACGCCGGGGAGATCGGAGCTTGAGCAGGGGTTTGTTGAGCTCACCTAAGTAGCTGCTTCCCGCAGTCCCTGGTGGAATTAGACGGACAAAGGCGAGCGATTGATTAATGATTTGGTAAGTAATAGTCATGGAGGATGAGTAGGGAGATGAGAGGGCTGACCAGATGTGCGACTCCCACCGGCCGGTCCTGCGGTAGAAGGTGACGCCCCTGTACTGCGAGCTCCGCGACCTCGGCCCGCGCCGCGTCTTCTTCGCGGGCGCCACCCGCTGCGCCGCGACCAGCTCCTCGGCGCGGCGCGGCTGCCACACGGGGGCCATCGGCGGCGCCGGGGCCTGCTGCCCCATCATCATCCCGGGCGCGGGCGGCGACGCGGGGAAGAGCTGCCTCGTCACGAACCCGGACGCGGCCGGCGCCGGCTCGCCGGACCAGTCGTCGTCATCGGGGCTCCCGAGCAGGCCGAACCGGAAGCCGCCGGCGTCCGCGGAGTTGAGCACGGACGAGCTGGACGTGCCGGAGTCCGCCGGCGACTCGACATTGAGATCCAGCACCATCTCCGATCCGGGGCCCGCCGGGCGCCTCCGAAACTCGCTTGACCCGCCCCGCCCGCCGCCGCTCGGCTCGGAGCGACCTGGACCGATGAGTGGGGTCGCGTCTATGGCATGGGAGCGCGGTGGCCGCGGGCTGCGAGGGCGAGGCGGGGGGAGTAGAAGTAGTGGTAGGGGGAGGGGGAGGGGGAGGAGGCGGTGGTGGTGGTGGCCATGGGGCGGGGGGATGAGGACTGGAGGACGACGAGGAGAGGGGGCCTCCCAGGCCAGTGGGAGAAAGAGAAAGAAAGAAAGCGAGATGGGACGTCGAGGAGCCCAAGGGCATCACAGGTAAACTTTTTTTGTGCAGCGGAGCTTCGCTAATCGCTACGCCCACACACCCCCCGGATGGGGACGCCACGTGTCGCCCTCCCAGGCGGATCAACCGAGTTTTTTTTTTTGGCCCGGACAGCCGCCTTCAACATTTTGCTCCACAAGGTAAATGCCTCCTTTCAATAAAAAAAAACGTTTGAGAAAAATGAGATAAATGACCTATAAATGATGTGTTCTTTCTCTCGTGAAATGATTGCAACTGATTTCTATGTCGACATATGGTTTGGTGTTAGAGGCCAAAGCTAAAGATATAAAATGTCAAGTTACAGAGTAATTTAATCACTGCGAAGATGAGTATTATAATATAATTGTTTTATATAGAATCAAGTAGCATCTTGTTTGAATCAGATGTGCGACTAGAAAGGTCTTACACCAAAGACGTTGGACGCTCCTCAAGCTAAACATAAATAAATGTCAACTTGCTAAGTAATTTAGTCCCATCAGGACAGGGTATTATAGTATTACCATTTTATATAAAACAACCAAGTAGCACCTTGTGCGAATCAGTCCTGCAGCTAGAAAGGTCTTTTGCCGAAGACTCTGGACGTTCTCGAAGATGCAAATATAAAAACCGCCCAAGTACTACATAAATATGTTTCCAATGCAACAAAGAGTAGAGTACGGAAGCCGATGTACCTTTGCGGCAGATCTTCAATGTCATGAAATTGTTTTTTTACACCGTGTCGTCGATCCAACCAAATGCTAACCAACAACGTACTAAAAAAAAGCTTTCCTCCAAGAAAATGTACTAAAAAAATCTTTCATCCAAGAAAACATACTAATTTTTTTTACGGTGCATCGTATGGAGGAACACTCACAAAACGAAGAAAGCTGTTTAGTTCAGCCCTATTGTGGAACAAATGGTACCTCAACTTTGTCCTAGGATTTGATTTGACCGACAGACGCAGATGGAGCAAGATTCAAAAGCCCCTTGATGGTCTGTTAACTCGAACTAAAGTAGAAGGAAAAAAAAAACCTCTGACCAGTTATCAACCAGGAACCACCCATGATCCATGGCATGATAGTGTCCACCACGGTGAGTGCAGCAGACAATTAGCTTTCGGTTGGCATTGTTAACGGCCGGCACCATCAACTCATGTTGTTATTTTAGCCATCTATCGCGAGTAAGATAAGCCCCCGGCCGTACGTCCTACGCTCGATTAATAGATCGCTCCTCGCAGGACCGCATTACACTACCCAAGTGCACTGCACGCCCCTCCGTGACTCCGAGGGTGCTTGGATACAAGGGACTATTTTTAGTCTGACTAAAAATAGTCTCTTTTAAAGGCTAAAGTTCCAAGCACTCCTGACTAAAGAGAGGCTAGGACTAGTCTTGAGACTAAAATCTTTTAGTCATGGGAAACCTATTAAAATATGTATTAGCTCTCTCTCTCCTCATTTAATTCCTCTCCTTAGTTCTGGATTGGAGGGTTTGGAGGATAATAAATGCTCAATAACTAGATTTTAGTCTCTTTAGTATTTGGATCCAAGCATGGGTGAGACTAGCAAGTTCTAGTCCCACTACTTTTAGTCATGGGACTAAAACGTATCCAAGCATGCTCTCCGTCTAATCAAACTCTAATTAATCAGCGCCGCTATATGTACGTGCGTATACATAGTACTATACGTTACGTACCGGCGCTTGCTCCGGCGGCACATGCATGAGCGCCGCTACGCAAACGCCAAGGGCCAGCGGCGCAGGTAAGGTGCGTGCGCCGTGCCGACGAGAGCGAGCCGGTTGGCGAGGCGGGAGCCGGCAGCTGGACCAGCCTAGCCTAGTAGGAGTACGTACCCGTCATGGCAGCAGCGTCTGACGGGATTTTATGTACCTCGTGCACCGCTCTTTTTCATGTGTGTGTATGCGTGCATGTATCACATCCACATCGGTGGTGGTGGTACTACTGGGCTTGGGGGTTGCAGGTGAGGGCTGGGTACGGTTTTTTCTCGTCGGGGGGCGCGGGGCCCGGGTGAAATGGGATGGGTGCAATTATTCGACGGAGAGACCCACACGCGGGTACGCAGCCACCCTGTTCGGGGCACTGTGCCGTTCCGGTCGCGTACGCCCGCCCCATCGCCAACGTTGTTCCTTTCCACAAATGCATCCCCCACCACCCGAGGGCTACGCCACCCGCGCCAAAACCTACGTACGCCGTGCGCGTATGTATATCCTGGTAAAAGCGTACGCGATGGGTCGCTTGTCACGGCCTCGCGTACGGTCGCGGTCGCGGCAGCGCGTGGGGGCTCGGCACGGGAGGACCCGATGAATGGACGGACGGACGGAGGACGGCGACAGCGCCGTAAATGGGCTGCACCGGTGCGGTACAGTACGTTGGCCCGTTGAGAGCGAGCCCGTGAGGCGACCCGGTGAGCGGGACGTGGTGCGTGCCGGGCCGAACGACCCCTCCGGCCTGTGTGCGCGCCGTTGAGGTGATCTGCGGGTGGGTCGGAGGGGAAGGTGGAGCGCACCGCACCGCACGTGACTGGCTTTTCTAGCCAGAGGGTTGCACCGCTTCTTTTTTTTTTCTCGTTTGTTTTGGTGGTCATGACTTCGCTTGTTGCGCACTGGAGGCTGCACACATGGTTCTGTTCTACTAGTAGTATAGCTTTTGCTTGATTTGACGGGTTTCACTCATCCGGAGTTAGAGGGAACCAAAAGAGGAGATGGTTTTACTAATAAAACGGAGCTTTGCGCGCGCTTCATGCTGGTTAAGACTTGCTCGTGTTTAGGCACTATGAGCTTTTGAAAAAAGTATCAAGCTTTTAAAAGTATCAAACATTTATTTTTTAGAGAAATAAATGTTTTGCTCCTGTAGAATTCGGACATCAGTCTTTTTCTCGTGTGTCATCCCTCGGCAAACTCTCTTTAATGAGCCCGATAACTATACGCACCACAAATCTGATAGCTTATGTACAAGTATCGTGGTAGCGTTTTTTATCCTAAACAGAACTAGTGTAAACGTACCCTCGATGCCTTTTTGTATGAATAACATGGTAACTCACACATCGCATACCTGATAACGTATGCATGCACCCAGGTCCTGGTAACTTTACCGACCAGGGGGGGGGGGTGTTGATGAAATATATCCCAGTAAATTTTTCGTGTGAATAGCATGATAACTCACACATTGCAGACTTGATAACTTATGTACCTCAGTCCTGGTAACCTTCGCAACGAAAGGGGGTGGGGGAGTTGATGAACTCTTGTGCGAATAGCATG